GAGTTTCGCTCTTGTTACCCAGGCTGGAGTGCAATGGCGCGATCTCAGCTCACCGCAACCTCCGTCTCCTGGGTTCAGGCAATTCTCCTGCCTCAGCCTCCTGAGTAGCTGGGATTACAGGCACGCACCACCATGCCCAGCTAATTTTTTGTATTTTTAGTAGAGACGGGGTTTCACCATGTTGACCAGGATGGTCTCGATCTCTTGGCCTCGTGATCCACCCGCCTTGGCCTCCCAAAGTGCTGGGATTACAGGCTTGAGCTACCGCGCCCAGCCATCATTTTTCAATAATAGCAAATAAATGAGTCTTCTCAGTGTGTCTTCATCTTGTCACCGTGATGAAGAGCACGATTCTCCTCTGGCCTCTCCACGAGCTTCGGTTGCTGCAGTTTCTCCAGTCGACTCCAGGAAACGTATTAACAATAACAGCAGCCCACAAGTATTAAGAACTTTTGGGCCAGGCATGGCGGCTCACGCCTGTAATCCCAGCTCTTTGGGAGGCCGAGGTGGGTGGATCACCTGAGGTCAGGAGTTCAAGACCAGCCTGGCCAACATGGTGAAATCCCATCTCTACTAAAAATACAAAAATTAGCCGGACGTAGTGGTGTGTGTCTGTAATCCCAGCTACTCCGGAGGCTGAGGCAAGAGAATCACTTGAACCTGGAAGGCAGAAGTTGCAGTGAGCCAAGATCCCGCCATTGCATTCCAGCCTGGGAGACAAGGCGAAATTCCATCTAAAAAAAAAAAAAAAAAAAAAACTATTAAACTGCCCTGCTACCATTTGGACCAATAACCTGGACCACAAATTTTCCATTTTTCCTTTTTATTGTCCTTCCATAAAGGTAAGTATATAACATATAACAAATATACAAGGTATACAGTGTAATATATGGCATAATATATACTGTATAATTATTACTATTAATATAAACTATATTTATTATGAACTATTTTAAACATAGAAGTAAGTACAGAAAAACAGACCTCAGTATGACTACCCTGAAAGATTTAATAGATGTCAATACTTTGGTACATTGGTATCAGATCTTTTGAAAGAAAAAACAAATTGTGGCCAGGCACGGTGGCTCACGCCTGTAATCCCAGCACTTTCGGAAGCCAAGGTGGGAGAATTGCTTGAAACCAGTACTAGTCTGGGCAATATAGTGAGACCCCCACCTCTACAAATAAATTAATGAAAAAACTTTGCTACAGATAAAACTAAAACCTTTACCACTCCTTCACCCCTACCCAACCCGAGGTAAATACTATCTTGAAGTTATGTTTATCATTTACAAGCAGACTTTCCTCTTTCTACGTGTGCATATAGTCATAAATAGCCCATAGAATTGATGCATGTAAATTTTCTACATAAATTCGATTGTGTTGGAATAATGGGCTGAACGGCCGCCCGCACACGTGCAGTGCCTGCTTGCTCCAGTAGATGTCACTGGGGTTCCAGTCAGCGAGAGCGCGGCTGTTCTGTTCTCAGCGTGTTTGGGATTCCTTCTGCCGTAGTGCTGACTTGCTTTGCAGTCGGAGGCTGTCCACCTGCAAAATGCAGGAGCTTTATTTTTCAAAACTTAAAGTGACATCGGAAACAATGAAACCTCGAATGATTTCCTTTGTGTCTGGGCGCGGTGGCTCACGCCTGTAATCCCAGCACTTTGGGAGGCCAAGGTGGGTGGATCACGAGGTCAGGAGTTTGAGACCAGCCTGGCCAATATGGTGAAACCCCATCTCTACTACAAATACAAAAATCAGCTAGGCGTGGTGGCGGGCACCTGTAGTCCCAGCTACTTGGGAGGCTGAGGCAAGAGAATTGCTTGAACCCAGGAGGTGAAGGTTGCAGTGAGCCAAGATCGCACCACTGCACTCAAAAAAATCAGTGGCTCCTGGGAGGCTGCTCTGGGGAGAAAGAAAAGGCTCAGTCCTGGACCGGCAATAGAGGGGCATGAGAGGGATGAGGCAGCGTGCTTGCTGCTGCCCCAGGCGGCTACCTTAGGCCCTCCCAGCTCTAAACCTGCCTCCTGCCCTCCACTGTGTGCTGAGCTGCAGACTCCCGACCAGGACCATGCTCCCATCTGGGTTACACACAGGTGTCATTGTTTTAGAGGTGATGTGTTTTAGAGGCCTTACTTTAAGGCCCAAGAAGGCTTAGGAAGGTTGACCTCACAGGCAGCAGACTCAGGACCACGGAGTGCAGAGGCTGAGAAACATCCCCAGGCGCTGTGTGTGCTGTGATCAAGCTCTGGAGTTTCCCACTTGAAAGCACCAGCAGGTAACCCTGACCCCAGGTCCACAGCAGAGCCTGGAACACATCCACTACTTCCCCACTCAAATTTCCCAACAGATCCAGCAAATTTGATGAATGAAATACAAGTCCAGAGAAGGAAGTGCTGCCAGTCTGATATGCTTCCAGCACACAGTCATGGCTGCTGTCTTCCCAGGGACATCTGCTGGTCCTAGTGACTGGCCTGGAGGCAGGGGCATGGACAAACTGGTCCCCAGGGCACACTGCAAAGGGCTCAGAGCCCCACCGGCTGAGCCAAAGGCGCCAGCAGCCTCCCAGCCTGCTCCTCCTCGTGGCCCCTCCCTGACCTGCCCTCTTGCTGGCCCCAGGGCCCCCGGGGAGGCCTGAAGAGGCCGTGGGAGTTTGGCTACCATTATCCGGCCCTTATCACCACTAACGTTCAGGCCGACACTGAGCCCACTTAGTTCAATGACGAGGAGCCGACCTGGGGGTCACGCCTGTCTCCAGAGAGCCGGTGCTATCTCGGTGACCTGTGGAAACCTTGGCATGAGCTCATGTTTTCTGACGACAGAGGACCCCGGCCGTATCATGGGCCCGCACCCCCACCCTCCGCGTCTGCCTTGAGCCCAGTGAAGGCTCTACCATTACTCACTGAAATAGCAACACTGATAACTGCAGCAGACAGAAACACATTGATGAATTTCCATTCAGAAAAGCCCCTCCTCCCGCCCTGCCCACTGCCTGCGTGTGTCCAAGGCGGTGGACACCCAGGCACAGGCAGAGTCATGCTCAGACACAGCCCCAAAACGTCACCACCCCAACCCCGGCTCCCGTGAAGATATGATGTGTCCATATGCCCCTAGAGGGGTATATATCCCGGGAGTTCATGCTACAATGTATTTTCTCCTCACTTGGGAAAACGAGTTCATGACAGAAACCTTGTTTGATATATTTGTGTGTTCCAAAATTGGCCCTGGCCTCACCAGCACAGGCTGTTCAGCATCAGCGGGCCGGGTTGAATTGAATTGGGCAGAGTCAACAGAACACAGGACCAGGGAGCAGGTCACCGGGCTGCCGGCCCTGCCGTGGCTCCTGGTGGACCTGAGGCGGGTGAGTTCTCTCTGGTCCACGTAAAGTTACTATCTATGGTCTTAAGATCTGTCTGTTAACAAGAGCACTTAGTGCATTTACATTTAACAGCATTACTGACATACTTGAGTTAAATCTACCACTGCCTTTGTAATTGTCTTTCTTTTTTTTTTAGACGGAATCTCGATCTCTCACCAGGCTGGGGTGCAGTGGCATGATCTCGGCTCAGTGCAACTCCACCTCCCAGGTTCAAGCCATTCTCCTGCTGCAGCCTCCCGAGTAGCTGGGACTACAGGTGGCTGCCACCATGCCCAGCTAATTTTGGTATTTTTGGTTGAGACGGGGTGTCACCATGTTGGCCATGCTGGTCTCGATCTCTTGACCTCATGATTCAGCTACCTTGGCCTCCCAAAGTGCTGGAATTACAGACATGAGCCACCATTCCTGGCCTCTTTTGTAATTTTCTATTTGTCCTGACAGTTCTATGTTTTTTTTCTCTCTTCTTACCGTCACTTTATTTTTTTATTTTATTTTTATTTTTTGAGACAGGATCTCACTCTGATGCCCAGGCTAGAGTGCCGTGGCATGATCACAGCTCACTGTGGCCTCAGCCTCCTGGGCTTTTCTCCCACTTCTGCATCCTACATAGCTGGAATTCCAGGTGGAAGCCACCACACCCAGCGAATTTTAAAATTTTTTTAAAGATAGGATTTTACCATGCTGCCCAGGTGGGTCTCAAACTCCTGGGCTCAAGCAATCCACCTGCCGCAGCCTCCCAACGTGCTGGGATTACAGGCTTGAGCCACCACATCTGGCTGTTCATCACTTTATTTAATTTAATCATTCCATCCTTTTCCTCTACTAATTTGAAAAGTACGTGCGCTATTTTATCATGATTACCCTAGCATTTAAACATACAGAGTTACCGTCTTATCAAAGGGTAAAATTGGGTGCTGTTGGCTGGGAGTGGTGGCACTTGCCTATAATCCCAGTGATTTGGGAGGCTAAACTGGGAGGATCACTTGAACTCAGGAGTTCGAGACCAGCCTGGGCAACATAGCAAGACCTCATCTCTACTCAAAATAGTTAAAAAAATAAATACATAAAAATAAAAAAGTCGGGTGTGGTGGTGCACACGTGTGTTCCCAGCTACTATGGAGGTCGAAGCTGCATTGAGCCACTCTGCCACGGCTTTTTTTTTTTTTGAGCTTATTTAATTAACATTTACTTAACTTGATGATTTGCCTCAACTAGAGAATATTCTGTCTCAGAGAAATATTTAAAGACAGTTGGCCGGGAGCAGTGGCTCACGCCTGTAATCCCAGCATTTTGGGAAGCCCTGAGGTGGGCGGATCACCTGAGGTCAGGAGTTCAAGAGCAAGCAGCCTGGCCAACTTGGTGAAACTCTGTCTCTACTAAAAAAATACTTTAAAAATTAGCCGGGCATGGTGGCAGGCCCCTGTAATCCCAGTTACTCAGGAGGCTGAGGTGGGAGAATTGCTTGAACCCGGGAGGCAGAGGTTGCAGTGAGCCAA